ATATATAAAATATGGAGGTTTTTTGGTTTTTGTTTATTTGTTTGTTTTTGAAACAATTTCTCTGTCGCCCTGGTTAGAGTACAGTGGCATCATCATAGCTCAGTGCAACCTCAAACTCCTGGGCTCAAGCGATCCTCCTGCCTCAGCCTCCCAAGTACCTGAGACTACAGGCACGTGCCACCACGCCTGGCTAATTTTTTCTATTTTTAGTAGAGATGGGGTCTTATTGTTGCTCAGGCTGGTCTTGAACTCCTGGCCTCAAGCGATCCTCCTGCCTCTGCCTCCCAAAGCGCTAGGATTGCAGGCATGAGCCATCTTGCCTGGCCTTAAAATACGTTTTTAATCACAACTGGGATTATAAGAAATTCCAAATGAGGAAAAAAAGATTCTTTAGTAGGAAGCGGGGGTAAGTTACCTGGCTGTACAGTGCCGGGGATGTCTGGGATGCCATTGACATCGTGTTGCACAGCAAACCCAGCAATCCTGGGTGGAACAAGAGCCTCCAGGCACTGCTTGAGAAACTGATAAATAGCTTGTATCCTGTTACATCATTTGTCAGCACCCTCCTGGCATTAAGTTGGTACATGCAATACTGCTCACTCTGCAAAGCTGATAAAATTGGTTTCCTCCATTGCTTTTGGTAAAAAACTCTATCAGTTCAATAGATACTTTTTAACAACATGACCACTTTTCAAGTTCATTACCCATTAAAGCAAAACAAAAACTCAGCTACACAATTTCTAAGCAAAGTATTGTAAAAAAAACATAATTAAAAGGAGGACCCAATTAGCTAAGAAAGCCACCAAAAAAGTTGGACCGAAAAGCTCCCTCCAAATGACTATGAATTAAAGTAAAAATCCTCAGAGAGAAAAAATGTGCAGTTTATAGTTTTGTTTTATTGAGCATTGACCTTGGAGGTTGCTCCCAGGTCTTAAAAGGCTTCAAACTCCTCTATAACTTTAACATATGACGATAGCAACATAGTTGGTTGATGATGGCTAAGAAAACATGTGGCAGAGCCATACTGACAAGGGAATAGTTTTACGATAGAAGAGGAAGCTTCTGTTCTCAGCTAAGAGCCATGTCCTCATACGCCGTGGTGGTAAGTGGAAAGTTTGTCAGTAAGTGGTTGCCTCTTTGTCTTAAACTTTAAAGCAGTTTAGTAATTAGCTCCAAATAAGGAAATTAACTGGCAATCAAAGTATTCAAGCAGGCAAACCCATTATAGCTCTTCCAAACCTTTGGGAAAAAAAGGTTAGAGAGCATTAGAATAACCTTTTTCATAAGGAGAGGATTAGAAGAATTGAGTGGTAGGTGGAAACATGCTGGAGGCTGTTGTCTTGTTTGCAGGTGTGGGGGCCTCAGAAGGTCTCTCTCCGTTTAGAACCCTTGTGTTTGTTTTACCGTGGGCTTTAATTATGCGAACTCAACTCCACTGCTCTGAACATTAGAGAGTAGCTGAATAGCTAGTGGTGACATCCTGTAGACCCAAGAATAGAAATAGCAATTCAGTTTAACAAAGTGTCATTCACATACATCTTGCTCAGATGCTGAAAAATATTCTCCCTTTCTTCAGCTTTCTTGTATTTCTTTAGGATACCTCTTCTGTTGTGTTCAACTGTCAACACATTTCATGTAGTTATTTTCACGCATACCATCTCCCTGAACCATGCCTTATACTTACTCCCCACAGTGCCTAGCAGAAAGTCTCGTACATGGTGTTCAATAAATGCTAGTTGGATACATTTTAGGGATCAGGCCAAGAGACTGGCCAACTGTAGCAATGGTCAGTATGGCTGAAGCCACACCTAAAAGTGTCCCATCTTCAGGACAAAAGACAGCCAATCTTGGGCTATTTTGAACTGATTAAGTGATCATGTCCCTAAATATCATTCATTTCAACTGGCATTCTCAGTAAAGAAGTGGGCTTTTTATTTATCTCTGGAAATTTCCATCCAAAGAGTATTTGGGTTTTCTTACAGAAAAAGTCATTTAGCAACAGTGTGTTCATCAAACATCAGGGCAGAATGCATCCTGGACCTTAAATGGTGATTTTTTATTTTTCCTGTTTCATTTTAACTATTGTTGAAGCCATGCACTGGGTAATATTTTTTGAATATGATTTTCCAAAAAGCCCTTACTTTATTTTGAATGAGTGTTGTAATATAATAGTAAATAGAGATTTACTAATCAAAGTTTTTAGAGAGGAATGTTCTTGTCAAGCATTTAGGACTCGGCCTGTCCCTCCCCTTGAATTTATATTAATGGATCCTGACAGCTTCAGCTGACATGAGTTTTGAGGAATTCCAAGTTAATCTACTTAGGTCACATCTAAACACTTTGGAGACATCTTATTAAACAGTGTGGAAGTTCTAAATGTTTCCATGAAAAGGCTGCCAGAAAAGGGAAATCTGTTAATAAAAAGGAGAATGACATAGTTGTAGGGTCTACTTATTGTAGAGCAACAAAAAGAACAGGAACTGGAGTAAAATGAGGTCACAGCTGTGATGAACGGCTGTGATGGCTTAGCTATTGAAGCCAGGCTAAGCTGTTTACCACCAGATTTTGATACAAAGGAACACTGCCAGAAAGGGTCCTTTGAAAATATGTGGTGGAGTTATGAGAAATAAATCTGCATTCATGAAAGTGGCAATCGTTGGGGGCAACACTGAGTCACACAGAAGGGCAGGGCTTGTCCTTTGCAAAAGACAAAATGGTTTTCAATCAACTATAGTTAGTCCTTAGAAAATTATGGGCCTATTTGTTTTGCAGAAATGTCAAAGTTTCCAAAAGAGATTTCTTTCTCCAGGTTGGCTAGCTACTAATATATACTGCTTATTTCAAAGATGACAGAATTTAAAAGGTGCACTCTGAACTCTATTTAAATCAATGATAATTACTGTTTGTCAAATGTGTTATTTCCTCTATGAGTCCTATCTCCAGTTAGCTGTGGCATTTTCTGAGATGGGCTGGCCTCTTTGGAAGGCCTACTGGCGAAGAGTGGGCTGGACACAGGACACAAGAGGTTCAATCTGGGGATTCAATTTGAGAACCCCAAAATGGCTGGGGTCAAAGCACAGGGACAACAAAGAGTTGCCACCTCTCTTTTTCTTCCCTTCCTCCACTTCCCACTTCCTTTGTCCTTCTTGCTCCCTTCTCTCAGCTTTTTACCAGAAGGCTACCTTAGGGGCCGGGTAAGGCCTGGTTCCACAGAAGAATCTTTGAAAAGTTACCAGTCAGTTGAGTTCTATTCCCTAGGCTCTCACTAGCCCCTCATCAACCCTAGGCCAACACTAGGAAGGTAGCTGGGAAATAGGGAGATGACGAGGACCTGGTGACTTTTTCTGTTTGTGTAGGATGTCTTAAGCATAAACACAATTAAAAATTTTTTCTGAGAACCAAAGTATCCTAAATAGGTCCCAGCTGTGTGACTTCAAGCACTCACCTCCCCTCTCTGAAGGTCAGTCTCCTTCCTGAAATCCCTCTGGGCGTGTTCTTAACACTGCTGGTGGTTGAACTGGTGGTTGAATAGGGTACTGAATATCTGTTCCATTCCAACAGGGAGCCCAAGGTAAAAAACTGACTACACCAGCAAGAGCATTTAAGCGAATCATACTGCTATGCAAATGAAAGAACGTGTTCAATCCGAATTCCCTCATTGCCTTTCCCCCATCAGGCATAGCACTTCAAGCTTCAAGAAGAGATGCTCACCAGGGCCTCCCAGCTCCTCTCCTTGGGTGCAATCCCTCTCTTCCCAGGCAGTCCATCTTGCAGACTGTTTAACCAATATTTCTCAATTGCCATTTTGAATCCACAAGGACTTACTGGGTGTCTACTATATGCCAGGCTCTGGGAACACAAAAGTGAATATGACACCACTGGGATCAAAATAGTCCTTGGTTTAAAAACTTTCATGGATTTCCTATTTTCTGCTTCATGCTTAGCTCCACCTTCCCATCCAAACATTTCCCACTTCCCCCAACGAGCTTTCCAATCTTGCCAGCCTCCAAAGCACCATTCCCCAGGCGTGGAATGCCCTCTTATCTCCCCTCTGAGCTTGTTCAAACCCAGCTCAAATCTCTCATCCAGGGTTTTGGTGTCCCTCCAGGGTAAAAAGGGTGGGGGTGGGGAGACACCTTCTCCTTTTATTCTGACTGGCTCCTGGTGAGGCCCCACTGAGGAGGCTGAGATGAAAGTGACTTGTCCACACTGGATTAGGGACTACAGGCGGCCCTATAACCTCTGCTAGGAGGACAAGTCAACTCCGCTTCTTCCTCTCTCTATAACCTCTGCTAGGAGGACAAGTCAACTCCGCTTCTTCCTCTCTTCGCACTCTGCAGGTGGCGCACAAGAAGCATCCCTAAATATGGGGTTTCACCTTTACCTTTCATCTTACCCTGCAAAGAGGGCTGGTCCCTTCTGAAGGGAAAAGAAGAGGTACTCAATAGAGGCATCAAAAATAATTCTTTAGTTCTAATCACAAGAGGAAAAACAAACTCACTAAATCAACTTGGAAAGCACCATCACGAAGTCCCTCCATCACCCCCACCCAGAGGTGAGGACAAGGTGCCAGGGACGCCAGGTGGCTTAAGACCTGCCAAGGGTCCAAGCCGTCTGCTCCAAGGGAGTAACTCATATACTCACCCCGGCCCCACCTTTTGCAGGAGGGAGCTTCTTCCTTCTCTTGGGGGGCTGAAGACTTGGGGACAGAAGATGCGCCAGAGGGAAGAGAATGGAGAATCGGACACCAGAAGAACTTCGGGGGACTCGTGGTGGGAAAGAAGGGAGGAGGAGAGAAGGGAGGCCCCGGGGTGGGGGGCGGCGCTGGAACGGGAGGAGTCACTGCGTGGCCGCCCCCTCCCTGCCCCTCCCCTCCGGTTGGGACCCGGCCCTCCTCCTCCTCGCCCTTCTCCTCCCCCTTCTCCCCCTTCTCCCCCTTCTCCTCCCTCTCCTCCCACTTCGCCTCCTCCCCCTCCTCCTCCTCCTCCCGGTGTGGATGGCGGCAGCCAGATTCGGAGCCCCAGCCGCGCTGCCCGTGAGTGACCAGCCCCAGGGGACAGAGACGGGGAGGCATGGGGAACCCCCTCTCCAGGGCGGGGCCTCCCCCAGTTCTCCGGGAAAGCTTCCCGGCCAGGAGCGCGGGCGGCCCGGGACTCGGGCATCACCTGGGCCCGCCGGACGCCCCCATCTCCCCCACACCCGCGCTTGCTGCCCCCAGAGGTGCTCCGGGCCCGCAGGGGGTGGGCCCCGCCCGGGCTCCCTCTCCTCACCTCTGCTCTGAGGCTGCTGCTGTGACCTGGGTCCGACTCTAAAGAGAAAGAAAACTCAGCAAAGAATCCAGACTCGGTTCCACGAGCGGGCCCCGGGAGCTCGCACAAACCCGCGCGCGGTGCCCCGACCTTTCGGACCTGGGTCACCAGCCTCGGTCCCTCATCCTCCCTCGGGGGCTCTGGATCACCCCCACCCCGGACTTTCTTTCTTTCTGGATCCTGCTATTCGCGCTGCTACCTCCTCTCCCTCCCTCCTCCCTGAGAGACGCGTGTCCCCCCGGGTCCCCTCAGGCAGCCGAGGTCTGCAGCCCCGTGTCCCCTCCTGCCCTGGAAGGCGAGAAGTCAGGCCGAGGGGCCACAGCCGCAGGGGCCGCCACACTTGCCCAGATATTTCCTGCAGGAATGACATTCACTGGAATTTAGTGTTGGGTCCCTTGTCCCCACAAACTGAACCTTGTGGATGCGAGGGAAAATTAAAATATATTCCTCTTCAGGATTTTACTATTTCTATTGGTTTGGCATTTTTTTATTTTAAGCTCTGTAACTGTGCTTTCTTCCAATAATAACGATACGTGATGCAGTTATCCTTTCTAATTCTGAAAGACAGAAACGGGAAAAAAAGATGATTTTTATAAAAGGAGAGGGAGAAAAAGAATGCTTGCTAAAAATACTGTGCAGAACCTGATCTTTGGCGAGGAAAGACTTCAATCCACACTCGACTGTTTTAGTGGGAGACAGAAGTTCGGTGTAGCTTGCTGTCAGACTACCCCAAACAGACTATTACAGCCTCCTCCAGGCTAGAAGTTTTAATTTGCCTGACATGACCCCCAGCGTTTGTTGGCATTCCCAGCCTGGCATCCCCTCTGCATTTCTCCTCCCTCCTGCTAGCTCTCCGTCTTCCTCCCAACTCCCCCACTCCCACTTTCTCTCTCATAACAGGGAGTTGTGAAAACAGAGGCTAAAATGAGCTGGACCACAAAGAGAAAACAGCTCCATTTATTTTCATCCCGAGGCTATTGCTTCAGCTACACTCTTGATTGGGTGGAAGAAATGTTTGGTTCATTTGTGTGGTTTTTATGTCAGGTCTTATTATGGTTGAATCAGTGTTTCCATGACGGGCTTGGTTCTCTGGGTGCTGGAGGGAGTTTATTAATTCTCAGATGGGTCTGGACAGATCAAGTCTGGAGTCTGGAGATTTTTTTTAGGGATTATCTGGGTTGATATTGCAAACCTCTGCCCACTCACTCAAAACCAGAGCAGGGGGAGCAGCCTGAGCCCGGGTTTACTTCCACATGACCTGGGAAGGAAAAGCTTTACCAAGGAGTAAGCTGTGTGAGCAGGGTTTCAGGGGGGTGTGGAACTTTTACTGTTTTTAAGGAGAACACACTTCTCAAGAACTTTAGCCACTCCCGTTTCCATACAAACAATAAATGTGGTTGTAACAAGTGTAGTAGATCAAATTCTGAACAGTCCATCAAAACAGGTCAAGCTATTTGGAAATAAAGATTTTTTTAAAATGAATTTCATTGGAAATAAAAGTTTATTTTTAAAAGGATGTAATTCACTTCTCTCTGTGGCTTCAGTTTAACAGTTCCCCATTAGTATGAATCAGTAAGGTTTTACTGTAATCTTAAAACATCATTGATAAGGAAGTGTTGTGACTTCCATCCAAAAAGAAAGCCCTTAAGTTTTGAACTTGTTTGGCCCTGTTACTTAGAAAAACAATGTACTGTGCTCAGATAAAAATCTTTAGTCTCTTCCTCTTCCTGAGCAATTTTAATAGTGTATTTAATATGCTGGAAGTCAACCTTATATTGTTTGGAGAAAAACTGCCTTTCTGCCTTGTTTAGCTTTTGCAGCACCTCATGGAATCTTTATAAACTGTTAATCTTGCCACCTGTCCCAAGGGTTTGCTCAGCAGCCCCAAGGTAGGCTGGTGGGGATGTAAGGAAGGCCACAAGGAGTCCTTGATCTAAGAAGGTGGTCTGGATGGAGATGGAGCCTGCATCCCCCAAACAGCCAATAGAAAGCAGCCAGTTATCATCTGGACAGGTCAAATGAGTTAGAAATATATGAAATGTGGGACTGGTGGAAAGGGAGGAGGGTTGGGGTGGTTAAGAAGTAAAATAACCCAAAGGAGGATACCATGTGGCCTTTAAAAATCATATGGTCCAAGAATGCTGAATTACATAGGACAGTCTTGGGGTATGGAGTTAAATTTAAAAAGCAAGTTATAAAATAGAAAACACTGTAATTTCACTCTTTGAAAATACATCCAGAAAACATTGGAATTATATGCATCGAAATGGATGGTGGGATTATAGGTGTTTTTTATTTTCTTTGTGCTTGCCTGTATTTCTCAACTTTTTACAGTAATAATAGCTAACATTTATTGAGAACTAAGTATTTACATATGGTATTTTATTTTAAAACACTTCGAAGTAAGTACTACTTATTTTTATGATGGAGATTCAGAAACTAGAATCAGAGGGGTAACTTGCCCAAAGCCACACAGCCACTAAGTACTAGAATCAAGTCTTGATTTCAGGTCAGTGGCTAAAATCTATGCATCTCAATCGCTGCTGTCTACCATCGCCCTGCACATGTATTATTATTTTAATTATAAGGAAAAAGTAGAAAAGGAAAGAGAAAATATTTCATGCTTTAATAAGAACTAATATTTTGATTAATTGGAAAATGCCTCTGCCTCCCTTCTCTCTCATCTCCCACTGTCACTTCTCTGTAGAAGTCCTTGAGAATTGCTCCAGACTTAGTGAGAGGTAGCTCACCCTTCCCTTGGGAGCCAGCCCTATCCACAAGAACAATCCAGAATTCCATGGATGCTTCCCCAGCCAGCCTGGAGTTCCAGGAAACCCAGGGGATTCTGGAGCAGTCCCAGTACAAGGCAAGGTTTTGAAAGTAAATCAGGCCAATTATGTCTTCATAGCTCTGCCAGTTATGGGCTGTCGTTGTTCTTTGCAGCATCAGGTGAGTGCGATGGGTGGAAAGACCTGGGGAAAGCACCCAAGCCCCCATTTGCCTGCGTGTCACACGGAATGTCAGGGTAGGCTGAGGATGTACCATGGAACAAGAAAGAGAAAAAGAAAAGCTCATTGTTTCTGGATGTTTTTTACTGTGAAAACACAATAATAAACTATTTTTTTTACAGTTTGGCTATGTGGGTGATCTCATGTATTGGCAAGTTTGACTGATTTAGTGGAAATGGAAATATTCAGTGTGAGTGGTTCTGGGGTAGCTCTGGGAACAAATGCCCACATGTGCCGGTAACACCATGTGCCTTCACAAGCAACCAGGTCCCAGAGGAGGTCACCCCACCCATCCTCTTTGTGGAATATACCTAAAGATCCCCGGAAGAATCAGCTTTCTTAAAGCACCTGATAACCAAATAACAAGGCTTTGTCTCTTCTATTCCTTAAGGAAGAAATTTCTGGAAGGATGATGATTCTAAGTGATAATCTTCTCTTTGTTGAAAAAAGTTGTAAGATAAGGGTCAAGGATCTCTTTCCCAAATTAGCACACTCAGACCAGTGTCCCAGATCTTGTATCCATTAGCCTTTATGAGAAATTTCTTTCTGGTCTCAGTGGCAGGAATAGTCCTTGTGAGCAACTTGTCTGTTACGTCTTACGGATGCTGTGAACCCTTTAAGTGATGTTTTTCATTTCTCATTTGGCCAAAGATAGCTCAGAGACAATTTAGTGGCCCACTTCTAGCAAATGTATAAGATTTTATGGTCTCTCTTTTGCACAACTAATAACATACACCTTACATTTCCTATTTATACTTTTCCTTGGCTCCCAATTTCCTTGCCTATTTTATATCGTCTTATTTATTCAGTGCATTTTGGGGGCTGCTACTTCTAATACCACTTATTCTAGGTTCATTTTTCTCTTTCTTTTCTTTTCTTTTTTTTCTTTTTAGACAGAGTTGCTCTGTCGCCCTAGGTAGAGTGCAGTGGTGGCATCGTAGCTCACTACAACCTCAAACTCTTGGGTTCAAGTGATCCTCCTACCTCAGTCCCAGCTGGGACTACAGGTGTGCACCACGTTGCCTGGGTAATTTTTCTATTTTTAGTAGAGGGGGGGTCCTCGCTCTTGCTCAGGCTGGTCTCTAACTCCTGACCTCAAGTGATCCTCCTGTCTCAGTCTCCCAGAGTGCTAGCTAGGATTATACTCCGTTCCTGGCCCTGTGTTCATTTTTCTTCATGTCAATGTAAATTTAGAAGCTCTTTCATAAAGGGTCTTGAGTAAATTATAAAGTATTTGTATTTCTGAAAATGTCTTTCTTTTGCTCTTACACATGAGAATTGGGCTGATTGTAGAATTCAGGACTCAAAATTATTTTCTCTTGGTACTCAAAAGATATTGCACCATTGTCTTCTTGCATATATTGCCACTACTAAGAGGTCTGATGACAACGAATTGTCACTTCATTATAAAATAATCTGTCTTCTCTCTGGTAGCTTTCAGGATTTTCTCTAAAATGTTGTACAGGTATATCTAGGTGAGGATGTGGAAAATTTTATCCTACCTAGCAGTCAATGAGCATTTGTGATCACCTAGCTGTGTAACCTTGGACAAGTTACCCAACTTCTCTCAGTCTCCTCATCTATGAAGTACAAGTAATAACAGTATCCACTGCAAGGATATTATGAAGAGATAATACATGAAAAATGTTAGAATGGTGCCTACTATATAAAGAAGTACACAATAATTGCTATTATGATTACTTTTATATTATCTGAGA